CCCTGGCCTAGGCAGTCGGCCAAGCCACAGCTGACCGACGTGTCCGTAACACAATCACCCCAAAGATCCCTCCGCTGTTTCTGGTTAGCCCTGGGGGGCAGGGGTCTTCTCTCTTCTTCTCCCAGTTAAGCCTGCCAGCATCTTCACCCCTAACTAGTGTCCGTGGGGACCCCGATTTACATCGAATCACATTATCTGAACTCCTAAGCCTGGGTAACCAGACACAGTGGCCATCAGCGGTGTTTGCGGATGGGGTACAAATCGCCGAGGGGTGGCATTGCAGTAGAATCACCGCAGTTGTTAAGTTGGTAACATGGGTCTGATAGTGGGAGTAGAAAGACACCCCAGCTTAGCGTCCGTTTGGAGGAGGAGGAGGAAACATTTGAGGCCCAATCCTTAGGTCTGCATCTGCTGTTTCCCAAGGGAAGGCGGACAATCTGGAGAGATTCTTGTAACAGAGGCGATCAACAATAAAGACATTTTCCATTCTTGGAGTTGTTCTCGTTGCTGGTTCCTGAGAGGTCCCCCCTCCACTTTAGCTCACAATATCCAGCACGCAGTGGGAACCTGGCCACCTAATCCTCTTCACCTTGCCCCTTTACATGAAGCTGGAGGATCCTGGTTTGGACACAGCCACGATGACTGACCGCAGCTAAACATGGCGGCAACGTCTGAACTGCCAAAGGGTCGAGCTGGCTGCTGGACAGAGGAGAATCCGAGCCTTACCTGATGGTGATGAGCTGTCCCAGGTCGAGGTCGTACTCGTTCACCTGGGCGATGAAGATGGCGGCCACCGCCTCGTAGAGAGCCGTCCCGTCCATGTTGATCGTGGCTCCGACCGGGAGGATGAAGCGGACGATCCGTTTGTCGATCCGGTTGTTCTCCAGAAGACACCGCAGGGTGATGGGCAGCGTGGCTGAGCTGGGAGAGAGGGGGGCTGCTTATTAGAGGAATCCCACTCCCCCAGCACGGAGAGAGAGAGGGGGGAAGGCGCACAACAGAAACAACCAGGGAGGAGAACAGGCAGTGTCGTCAACACAACTGCGCAGGCAGAAGGCGGCTCGGAAAATCTCTGTGTGTATCCACCCTCCATCCTCAAGATACCAAACCCTGATGCTTCCTAGGATGTTCAGATGCCTTGAAGATGTGGGAACGAACTCTGGGGAAGTCCCCTGGCATGAAGTGGAAAGCCAAAAGTTACCCCCCTACACACACACACACACCTCACCCCCGCTTGAAACTCCTCTGCAAGAGCTTCAAGGGGTTGGAAGGACCAATGTCTAGCTTAATGAAAAGGACGAGGGGGGGACATGATAGCGGGATTCCAATGTTTGAGGGGCTACCACAAAGAAGAGGGGGAGGGGTCAACCTATCCTCCAAAGCACCTGCAGGCACAACAAGAAGCAATGGGTGGAAACCAATCAAGGAGAGAAGCAACCTGGAATGAAGGAGAAACTTCCTGACAGTGAGAACAATTAACCAGAGGAACAGAAGTGGCCTCCAGAAGTTGTTGGTGCTCCATCACTGGAGTCTTTTAAGAAGAGACTGGACAACCATTTGGAAAAACTGGGTAGATCAGTGGTTCTCAACCTGTGGGTCGGGACCCCATTTGGGGTCGATCGACCATTTCACGGGGGTCGCCAAGCAAGGCTGTCCGCCATTTTTTTTGTCTGCCATTTTTCCCCCCTTTTCCGGCGGGTGCCTTACCTCCCTTGGGCTGGGCCAGCTGGTGGTCGGCCTGCTCCGTCTCTGCCGCTTGCCAGCTACGCCTCGGCCGGCGCAGGGGGTGGAACCACGCATGTGCGGTGCTCCCGGGCAGGGAAAGTCCTTATTTATTTATTTATTTATTTCACTAACTTATATGCCGCCCTTCTCCCCACGGGACTCAGGGCGGCTCACAGCATGTTAAAACAACACAAAAACATTTCCCCTATAAAAACCAATTAAAAACCAAATATTTATAGCTGTGTCATTATTAAAATCTTTAAAAATTTTCCCTATTTAAAATTCACCCTAGGTCAGTCCCGCTTGCTGAAAAAGCCATGTCTTGACTTACGACCGGTTGGGTAGTTCTCGACTTACGACCGGTTTAGTCCTCGACTTACGACCGGTTTAGTCCTCGACTTACAACCGGTTGGGGGTCGCGGCATTAAAAAGGTTGAGAACCACTGGGGTAGAGGGTCTCCTGCTTGATCAGGGGGTTGGACTAGAAGACCTCCAAGGTCCTTTCCAACGACTGTAGAGGGGGCTCCGCTGGAGGAGACCAATGGCACCCAGCCAGCTTCCTCCTCATCTTGATGTATTATGGAGATACTCCCAGAACCGCTGCCGTCGGACAAGAGCTTGGTGGGGCCTCCCTTCACAGTTGCCCTCGGGATCTGGCTTTGGCAGGTAAACTGCCTCTGGACAGGGGAGCTTCACTGAATGACTGACAGAGCGATGAATAAGCAGCCACGCCAGCTCTCTCCGTTTGCTGCCCTTGGAGATGTCGGACGCTTCCTAGACCGGTGGGTCCTTCCAGCGGGCAGCCCTGTGCCCGCCGTGCCCAGTGGGAAGCAGAGGACACCAAAGGGACCCCCGCAGCCTGTTTGACCCCCCCCCCCCCCGTCTGGCTGCCCCTGCCGGGCTTCGTACCTGGAGGAAGTGGCCAGGGCGATGAGCAGGGCTTGGAGGATTCCCCGGATGAAGGGGAAGGGGTTTTTCCGGGTCAAGATGAGGAAGAGGAGGGGCAGGAAGAAAAGGGCATGGATGGCCAGCCCGGTCACCACCGTCATGGCGTAGAGGCCCAGTTTCTTGCCAGTCAGC